CTCCCCACCACCCTGTGCCCCACGGCCCACTGGCTTTCGCTCCCTTAGCGCCATGGCCCAGCGCTCAGACCTCCTGGAGCTGGACTGTCAGCTGACCCGGGACGGTGTGGTGGTGGTTTCCCACGACGAGAACCTGTCCCGCCAGTCAGGCGTGAACAAGGATGTGGGCAGCCTGGACTTTGAGGTGGGCCTTGCCCTAGCCCCCCCACTGCCCGACCCAGAGAGCCCCCACTGAGCCTCCTGGTGACATGCCCCTGCCTCCCCAGGAGCTGCCCCTCTACAAGGAGGAGCTGGAGGTTTACTTCTCACCAGGTAAGAGCATGGGGGTGAGCCCTGGGCTGGGCCAGCTGAGGGGCCATGGCTTCAACCTCTGCCCTCTCTTCTGCTCTGGAACTTGCCCCTCGTTCCCTGGGTTCCCACTCCCACCACACGTCCTCCTCTGCTCTCTCCCCATAACCCCCCAGGCCACTTCGCACGTGGGTCAGACAGGCACATGGTGCGTCTGGAGGATGTTTTCCAGAGGTTCCCTCGCATGCCCGTGAGTGTGGAGGTCAAGGAGGAAAACGAGAAGCTGATTCACAAGGTGGTGCTGTGGGCACGGTGGGGAGGCCCGGCCTGGGGAGAGGCCTGACTCCCTCTCATCTCCTTCCTCCTCCTTCCAGATAGCCAGCCTGGTGCGGCACTTTGACCGCAATGACATCACCATCTGGGCCTCGGAGAAGAGCTCAATCATGAAGAAGTGCAAGGCTGCTGTGAGGCCCTCTCCCTCCCTCCTCCTGCAGCCCCTCCCCCCAGGGGCCGGAGCCCTGCCCAACCCAAGGGCCTAGGCTGGTGGGGTCTGGGGGGGTTCTGGGGGACTTGGAGAGGTGAGGTGGTGGAGGAAGTATGTGAGCCAAGTCAAGTCATGCTGCTGGGAACAGGGAGGGTGCATTCAGGCCTTGAGAGCTGGGCCAAGATGTGGCTTTGATCCTGCAGATAGTAGGGTTTCCTGAATGTTCCAAAGCTGTTTCCCCTGCAGCCCAAGCCTCTCTGCTCCCCCAGGAGCAGACTGACTCCTCTCACCGCCCCCCGCTTTGCCTCCCAGAACCCCGAGATGCCGCTCTCCTTCACCAGATGCCGAGTCATCCGGCTGTTACTGCTGTATTACCTGGGGCTGCTGCCCTTTGTCCCTATCCCTGAGCGGTTCCTCTTGTGCTTCCTGCCCACCATCATCAACAGGTACCTACAGGTCCCCATCGCCCTTCTCCATCTGCCCCCAGGCTTCCAGCTGCTTCTGTCCTTGGAAACCCGACCCCCCAACTCAAGCCCCATTTTGTAGGGTCCCCAGCCACCTTCAGGATAACCCCCACAGCACTGTGAAGACAGGGGCTCTCACCCAGCATTCATGGATACTAAGAGGACCATGAACCCTCTGAAACTCAGTGCAAATGTACTGGTATGTAGGTGTGGATAGAGTTGTGGAACAAAAGGTTCATTTACTCATCCATTCATCCAGTTAGTATTTATTGACTGCCGACTCTTCCAGGTGCAGGAACACTAGTAATAAAGACCAGTGTGGGTGGGGCAAGGCCCTCAGCGTACAGTCTGGCTAGGGAGACGCATGTTAATTGTAGCATCACTCTGATGCCCCAAAGGAAAAGCAAGTGTTTTCCTGCGGGGAAACAAGGATTAACAACGTAACATCTGGGTGAAGTATGTGGAATGTGGATACTTCGCCAGCTCTCGGGGCGCCCCCCTCCCGCCACCTGCTCTCAGAGAACTCAGCTGTGGTGGCCCAGTGCCTTCTGCTGTCATGAGAAGCGCCCAGCCAGCCCCCACAACCCTTTGCAACAAAGACATCATTATCCGACAGAACTTTGTGTATAGAATTTTTATGCAGGATTTCGTGTTTCCACATCCTGTCGTCAGTTCAGCTTTACTTGGCAGCACCCCCAGGAGTTATAGGAATCATGACCCACAGAACATGGAGAATCTGTTCTGGCTCAGAGCTTCTGTAACTTGCTCGAGGTGATACAGCTAGAAGTCCAGGGCCTGGCTTGCCCTGGGACACTGGAGGGGCTCTGAAGTCTCCCCTGGAGTGGGGCAAGCAGGGGCAAGTAGCCGACCCATTAAACGCTGACTGTTCTCAGAAGCTGGTCAGGCCCAGCTGGGAGGACCTCCAGACTGTGTCCAGCTTGGGAAGCTAGGTTTCCGCCCTGGCCCCACCACAGACTTGCACATGACCTCGGGCAAGTTAATCAAACTCCCCAAGACTGAGTTTCCGCTTCTGAAAAACAGTGAGGGGTGGGCACACCCTCAAAGCATGGAGTCAAAGATGTAGGAGTAGGATCTCACTGAACAAAGGGTGGGTTGTTTGTCCGGGCAACTGCAAAGGTTCTTTTTTAAATTTTTTTAAAAATTTACTTCAGAGCCGAAACCGGTTTGGCTCAGTGGATAGAGCATCAGCCTGCGGACTGAAGGGTCCCAGGTTCGATTCCGGTCAAGGGCATG